GACAGGGTCTCTGTGAGTTGCTTAGGGCCTCACTTTGCTGAGGCTGGCTTTGAACTCTCGATCCTCCTGCCTCAGCCTCCCCAGCGGCTGGGAGGACAGGGGTGCACCACTGCGCCCGGCTCCTAGTTTTTCTTGACAAAAATCAGAAGACCAGCGAGAGGCAGCTTCCAGGCCTTTACCTAATTTTGTAGGTATACTATACCTTCAACCTTGTGTTTGGAAATCAGAGTAGGGACAGAGGCCCCACGCGCCCTCGGCCTCGCTTTCCCCGGCGGCACGTGCTGTGTAGTGAAGGGGACCTCAGATCTGGGAGGTGGGCATCAGGACCCAGGCTGCCAGCTCGGGTGCTGGCCCCCACGCGTGTGTGGTTCTAGTACGGCTGTGTCGGGTGCAGGTTTCTGCGCCCACCGTCCTCCCTGCTGAGGGGCACGCCTGTCACTTTGCGTGACTTTTCTTAGGAGGGACCTGGACTTTCACCAGCTGCAGGGTTCGCACCCTGGTGAGCACAGGCAAGTCCCGGGTGGAGTGACAGAAGCTTGTCCAGTCACCCGAGCCGCTCAGCCCACCTCAGCCCTTGGGACACGTGGCCTGGTTCAGTTCCCTCGAGTCGCAGCGGAGGAAACCGCGGCCAAGACCTTCCCACTTCCAAGGTCCATCTCTAGAGTCTCCTCTTCCAGAAGCCCTCCGTGCTCACCCCTGCCGGCCATCACGGCTCTTTTCCTCCTCTGCTTTCCCAGGGCTACACGTCTGTAACTCTATGGCGTGTGGACCTTTTAGGTCCCAGGGTCAGGAGAGTGGGGCCAGGACCCAGCAGACGGGCCTCAGGCTGTGTGACACTAGGCAGGTGACCTCCCCTCTCTGAGCCTGTTTGCTCAGTTGAGATAAGAGCATAAGGGAACAGAGCCCAGAGAGGCTGGCAGAATGGAGCCAGGGAGCACAGCTTGAAGGGTGCTGGGCACAGTGCCAGACACGGTGGACACAAGTGTCCAGGGGACCCGGGTCGTGGGGAAGCCAGTGGTGCTGGGCAGGGACAGGAAGCAGCAGTGGAGAGGGAGGGGCAGTGGTTAAGGGTGTGGATAGGATTCTGCTGTGTGACTCGGGGTGAGTTGATCAACCTCTCTGAACCCCAGCTCTGACATTTGCAAAGTGGGAGTAGATCACATTTTCAAGGGGTTTTGGCCCAGTTTCCTCACCTGCAGGACACAGCTAACAATTCTAACCTTGGGAAAGGCAAAGGGCTCTTTCCACCAGCCCCCTCCATCTGCCCCTCCAGGAAGGAGCTCTGCCCAGGACCCTGGCTTCACATGCTCAGCTCCCCGCAGGGCGCCCCCCTGCACGGGGCCCAAGGCCAGCGCCCACCCCATCCTCCGCCCCTTCTCTGAAGGGCTGTGCCTGAGCCTCCAGCAGAGGAGGCTGCGGTCCCGGTCCCCTCCCTCTCCATCCCTCCAGCACCCCCGGGAGGTGGCCAGCTCAGTCCCCCAAGACAATGCCCCCCGTGGCCTCTGCCTGGACACCCCCACCCACGTGACCTCAGCCCCCAGGTGAGGGGACGCCCACTCCTCCCTGTTGGCGCCCAAGGCTGGGGCTGCGGGTGTGCCCACGGAGGGCAGCGGTGCCCTTGGGCTTGGACTGGGCAGCTGGTGCCTCGCACCTCCCCCGCGTGGGCCCCCTTCCCCGGGTGTCACCCACAGGCAGCAGGGCAGTGGGGGGCTGTGACACTAGTGGGCAGCTGGGGGGTTTCCAAGGCCGTCGGACATGGCCTCTGAGCGCCTGCCACCTGCAGGGACGGGGCGCCCTCCCTACGTGGGATGAGGACAGTGAGGAGTCAGGTGAGGGGACCAGCCCAGCCCCAGGTGGCCCTGGGGACCACAGACTCACCGGGCTCGCCCTTGGGGCCCTGCAGCCCGTCATGTCCGTCCTTCCCAGGGGCCCCCGGCAGGCCTGGCATCCCCGGGATCCCGTAGCAGCTGGGGCTGGACTGTCCCCGCAGTGGCCGCGCCAGCAGGAGCAGCAGCAGGCAGAGTCCCAGGAGGCCCCTGCAGCCGGGGCCCGCGTCCATCCTGGGGAGGGAGCCGGTGGGGAGGGTGGAGTGGCCCCGGGCCCTGCCTTCCCGCCCTCCTGGTGCTCAGCTCACTCCCTCCAAGGAGGGACCACCATGGCGGGTGGGAGCTGGCCTCTGCTGCAGCCAGGCCTGGGCTCAGCAGGGTGGACCTCCCGCCCCCCAGCCCAGCCGTCCAGGAGCGTGGCCCTCGCCCTCACCTGTGCGCCTGGGGCCGGGAGGCTTCTGGCCTGGTCACAGAGTGTCCTCAGCCCTCTTCCCTCTCGCAGACCGGAGGACACCACGTCAGAGTGGACAGAGCAGGATGGCCCAGGGCAGAGCTGGGGTCCCCTCCCCCGTCGCTCCCCTCCCCCCCACCGCTCCCTGTCCCACATCCCCTTTCTTGTCATTTTCCCTGACGTGACACTTTCTGGAGTTCCAGCCAGGCTGACCACAGTGACCCCCACCCCCTTCCGCCTACACCTGGTCATGAGTGTCTGAAATGGGGAAGTGAATGACGTCCCCAGGGCACAGATGTCCCTGGGGTCAGGTTGGCCCACCCAGTGTCCGGTCCCCTCTGTGGCCTGCACGGTGCCTGAGACTTAGCTGGTTGGCATCACCGAGGGGGAGTGACTGTCCCCTCACCGACGAGGACACTGAGGCCCAGGGAGGCCGATGCCCGGGCCCCTCGTCCACCCGAGTGTTCTCTGGGGCTCAGCGCCCACCCGCTGCTCGGCCACCACCACACATGCAGTCCGACATGCATTTGTCAGGTGCGCGCCTGGTTCTAGAAACATCCATGGCCCACGGGGTCGCTGCGCTTGGGGGTGGACACCCAGGAGGAGCCAGCACTGCTGAGTGCCCGGCCCTGGCTCCGGTCAGCGGCTGTGGCTTCCCCTGCCCGCCCTGCACTCGTGCGCGGAGGCCTTCGTGAACCCCACCTCCCCCTGACTCTGGGGGACCCAGGCTTTGGGGTCACTGCTCTTCCTTTCCCTGGTCCCCTGGATCCCCCCTTCCCACTGCCTCCTGCCGGCCTCCGGCCAGGGGCCTGGGTGGGTGGGGTCCAGTCACGGCCCCTCTCCTGCCGCCCACCCCAGAATGAGGACTTGCAGCGGCTCCACGCAGGCCGCGGTGAGGAGGAGGTTGGGGACAGCAGGAGTTCAGCATCCTCCTTCAGGGCCTCGGGCTCCACCTGGACCTCTGTCCTGTGGCCCAGGCCACCCAGCCTGGACAGAGGTGAAGCACTTGGCCCCAGAGCCCCCTGCGGGTGGAGGTCTGGGGGGGCATAAGAGGTGGGCCCTGCCCATGGGGTGGGGGACAACCCAGCCCCCCGCGGGCCCTGGGCTGCAGCTGCTGTCCTCGCCTCCTGGGCGCCCAGGTCCTCTTTGTCCAGCAGGTGGCAGCCTCGGCCCGCGCTCGGCCCGCTCCTGCCCCACCCGCTGGCCTGGGCGGAGGAGGTGACAGGACTTTGGCACTTTGGGGTGCGGCAGGGGGGCTGTACCTAGGCCCCCGCTCTGTCCAGGAGTGACCTTAAGCACCGTCACTGGGCTCAGGTCCGGGCGTCGTCTGCGGGGTTCCACCCACCTGTGGCTGTAAGAGGCCCAGGGCGGGGTGGGCACCCAGAGCGGCCTCCCCCAGCCTGTGGGCAGCGGGTTCCGACAGGCAGGGACACGGGCCGACCATGCAGGGTCCTGAGCGGGGGACCACTGGTGGCAGTGAGGGACGGGGGACACTCCAGGGTCTCTGAGGACAGCTGTGTGGAATCGCATGTCGGGGTCAGGGTGGAGAGCTCGGGGCTGCCCCCGCCCTGTGCGTGATGGGGCCGGAGGGTGATGTGGGTGTCGGTGTGTCTGGGCCACGCGTCCCCGGGGGTGTGCGCCTGTGTGCGCGAGACAGAAAATGCATCTTGGGTGGTTCACGAAGGTTCCTTGGAGGTCGGAGGCGGGAGCTAAGTGGTGGGAGAGATGTGTCCCCCCAAGTGCACACGGGTGTGAAGTCACAAGTGTGGGTGTCTCCCAGGGTGTGCGAGGGTGTGCGCTGGACCCACGTTTCCTTGGGAGTGGGTGGCTTTCTGTGGGGCCCTGGGGAAGCACATGAGCATCCAGGGTCCTCCAGGTCCCCAGCCCGGGCAGATGCCCAGAAACCCAGGCTGCTCACCCGCTGGGAGGGAACCTGGGGCCAGACCCAGGAGTCCTAGCCTGGGGGAGTGCTGGGCGTCCCGGGACTGGCTGTCTCCCTTCTCTGATTCCTGCCCCAGCCAGGGGTGGGAAAGCACTGTGTGAGTGTGCAGCCCAGCTGTAGGGTCAGGAGGCTGTAGGGTCGGGAGGCTGTAGGGTCTGGGAGACTGTAGGGTCTAGGAGGCTGTAGGTCTGGGGAGGCTGTAGCGTCTGGGAGGCTGTAGGTCTGGGAGGCTGTAGGGTCTGGGAGGAGGCTGCAGGGTCTGGGAGGCTGTAGGGTCTGGGGAGGGTGCCCTTGGGCTTGGGTGGCAGTGGGACTCGGCTCGATTCCAGCCCCTCCCTTAGATCCCGCCCTGGGGCTCCAAGGCCTTGCCAGGGCCCATTTCATCGCCTGTAAAGTGGGTCGTGACTCGCACCTGGAGCCTGACCCACAAGATGACACAACAGACGATAGCTCGCAGCTCTGCAGCCCTGCAGCCCTGACGGGAATGTTTATTGAGAGACCAGACGAGGTGACTCACCCGGGCGCTGGCTGCAGGCCTGACAGCAGGTCACTTACTCTCCCAGCCTTTGAGGTAGGTGCCATCATCAGCCCCACCTTACAGACAGGACACTGAGGTGCAGAAGTCACCCGGCCTGCGGACGACCCGGCAGGGGTGAGCGTTGGCACCGAGATTGGAGCCCGGCTGGGGCGGCTCCTGGGACCCGCTAAACACAGCGGGAAACGCTGGACAGGCGGCCACCTCCCCAGTGCCCGGAGCGGCGACTGGACCTCAAGCCCCGCAGACAGACTCAGATCTTTATTCCAGGAAGGGGCAGAGAAGCGGCCCAGGGGGGGACGGTGGCCAAGAGCAGGACACAGGGAGGGCCCGGAGGGCGGCTCAGGGGGACGGGAAGATGAGGAAGCCGCTGAAGATGCTGTCGGCCTCGGGGCCCTGGTAGATGCGGCCCTTGGCGGGGTCCTTCTCGATCCAGACCTGGTCGCCGTGGTTCAGGTGCAGCACCGTGCCCCCCGACACCACCTGGAACAGCCCCTTCCCGTTGGTGTCGCAGAAGCCCAGGGTGCGCCGCACCTGGCCCCGGGAGGAGGACACGATGGTCAGGCAGATGTCCCACTTGGAGACCACCTGGAAGGTGAAGTAGTAGTAGCCGGGCACGGCGCACAGGAACTGGCCCGAGTGGCTCTGGTAGGGGCTCTCCTGGTTGGTGATGACCGTGTCGAAGATGACCACGTTGCCGCCCACCGGCGGGTTCCGCCTGATGGCCGAGAAGGCCGGCCGCGGCTGGTCCTTGATGTTTCCTGGGTTGCCCTTGATGCCCTTCTGTCCTGGCAGGCCACGGTCCCCAGGGAGGCCGTTGGGCCCTGGGTAGCCCATCATGCCCGGCTTTCCAGGGAGCCCAGGCTCCCCGGGGTCTCCTTTAAGGCCCCGGATGCCTGTCCTGATGCCAGGGGCTCCTACGGGGAAGAGGAGCCCAGGGTCAGCGTCCAGGGCCTGCCCCAGGGGAGGGCTGGAGCCTTGGGGACCTTCAAGGCAATCCCCGAGGGCTGTGTGACCTTGGGCTGGTGTCTCGATCCCCCTGAGCCTCGGCTGCTTCTGTGAAATGGAGAGAAGCCTGAACTGGCCTTGGGACAGCGTGGGCTCTGGGACCGAGGACACTCTGGCTGCTCCTGTTCCCACCCACATCTGTGCACCCCACATCCCTCCAGGCCTCTGACCCCTTCTTCCTCAGGTTTGGGGACCTTGTGTAGATTCCTGAGTCTCTGCCGAGCCTTCTGCTCCACTGGGGACGGACACAGCAGCAGGACGCGATGAGACTCTCCTCCCCCCTCCCGTTTCCATCCTCCCCGTTCGCTGATCCCTCTCAATGTGCCAGGCAGGATTATGTCTCCATTTTACAGATGAGGAAACTGAGGCTCAGAGAGGGTCGGTGAGTTGCTTGAGGTCACACAGCAAGGCAGCGGCTCCTGAGCCTGAAATCCGGGGCCTGTTCACTCTGGTATCTGAACAGTGACTGAGGTCGTGCACTGCTTCAGAACTTTCACTTTCATGGCTCGAAGCAGCTCATTATCCAGAGGAGGAAGGTCTTGGCAGGTCTGGGATCTGGCCCATACGGAAGGCTAGGCACCTGGCCCTTGGGGCAAAGTGCAAACCAGAGGGCTTCCTGGGGGGGCCCAAGTGGACCTCTGCTTCTCGGGGCCACCCGAGCCCGCACCTGGAGGCCTGGCCACTGGCTGAGGGTCCAGAAGAAGCTGCTTACCCGGTTCCCCTCGCTCGCCCTTGAGGCCCGGCCGCCCGGGTCGGCCAGGTTTCCCCGCAGCCCCGTCCTTCCCATTGGGTGCTCGGCACACATTCTCGGTCACTGTCCAGGGCAGGGACACGGCCAGCACACAGACCACCAGCCACCGCCAAGGGGCCTCCATGGCGCCTGTGGAGACACGGCGGAGCCGGGCGGGCTGGGCACCATGTGCTCACACCCCGAGGCCCACACCACCCGTGTGCCCTCCCCCAGGGCACACCCCCAGGCCTCTGATGGCCACTGGCCGTCCAGCTCCAGGGACCCTGCAGACGCACAGGCAGCGAGCAGCCCAGGCCCCCGCCCCCCGCCCCACGCTCGATCGATCCCATTGAACAAATATGTATCCACCTCCTGCTCCTTGTTCAGCCGACACTCTCGCCCAGATGGGAGCTGCGCCCGGGCAGCCGCGGACACATCTGCTCCCTGCTCCTCTGAGCGTCCACCGGGAGGGGCTGCGCCACCCGCTGCTCCGGCCCGGGGCCTCGGGGCTCGGCACTCACCCATTCTGGGTCCTGGACATGTCCCCTCCCGGAACCAGGGCAGCATCCCTGCCTCCCTCCTCAGGTGCCCGGTCCCCGAACCTCCTGTCCTCTCCCTCTGCACGTCCAGCCTCACCTGCCTCCGGCTGTCCACGCCAACTGGACACTCCTGCCCTTGCCCAGGGACCCCGGGGACCAGAGGGGTGTTGCCCTCTGGGCGAGTTTCACATCCCTCCCCACTTCCCCTTCCCCTCAGCCTCAGACAGGGAGACTTTGAGCCGACCTCAGCAGGACTGGGACGTGGGACAGCTGAGCCCAGCCACTGTCACATGGGACAGCTGTGGAGGGGGCGGGAGAGCTGGCGGTGCCCAGGAGGAGGGGTGGAGGGGACCGGGGGGCTGTGGGACCCGGAGGGAGAGACCATCAGGGCGGAGCAGGCTGTCTTCCCGTCAGGCACCTGCTGGCCTCGTCCTGCCCAGAGCCAGGGACATGCAGAGAAGAAAGAACAGGGCTGGGGGGGACAGGGGGACGGGGGGGACCAGGGTCCGGACTTCCCCTTCCTGGCTGCGTGTCCTCGGGAAGTTACTCAACCTCTGGGTCCTCAGTTTCCTCATCTGTAAATTGGGAACAACAGATTCTGCCTCGTTGGATTACAGTGACACACACGTGCAGAATAACTGGCGCATGGGGACCGTGGAACCGTCAGCTTCTACCAACACGAAAACACAAAAACAGCAATGGAGGGGCAGGCAGGGGGCGGCTCAGTGACAGAGCACTTGTGGGGCACACACGAGGTCCTGGCTTGGATCCCCACACCGCCCCCAAAACCAAACAACCAAACAACAGCAACAACAAAACCGCACAGCAACAGAACCCGACAATCCTGCTGGGCAGAGGCGTTTGAATGCTCCACTGACGGGGCACTCACTACCTGCCCAGACCCTGACAGCACTCCTATTGTTGACACTGATCCACACCCTCTCTCTAAGGCTCGAGATCAATGCCATCGGGCCTGGGCTGACCACACCTTTCTGCCTCCGTCCTCGAGCATGTCATGGTCTTTCAGAGAATCTGCCAGAGGAGAAGGCCAGGAGGCAGCCGGGAGGGAGAAGGGAAGGTCAGGGTCGGCAGGCTTCAGGGTTCCTCTTTCACCTGCAATCTCCCGTGGCCCTGCCATCTACCAAACAGAGACAGAGGACTGCTGTGATTGAAGGTGGGGCCACGAGGCCTGCCTGCCACCCCCCTCACCTCCAGGATGCCGGAAGTTAGAATCTCCCTGCTCAACTGTGTGGCCCTGGGCAAGCTGCACCCTCCCCTGGAACCCTATATGAATTTATGAGGAAGTCTCTACTACCGTTACTGTGAACAATGCTGTGTGATCTTGGGCAAGTTACCTAACCTCTCGGAGCCACACTCTCCTTCTACCAGGAGGCAGGCAGGTGGCCCCAGATGGTCTCTAACACCCTTTCCAGAGCCCATCTTCTTTGACAGCCTCAGGCCAGCCTTGCTTTCCAGAAAGAGGGGTCAGAAACATGAAATGTCAGAACCCAGAGGCTCACCTGACTCCCCATTTTGCTAATGAAGAAATGAAAGGTCAGAGACAGAAAGACTTACCCAGCGTCACACAGGGAAGGACCGAGCTGGTCTGAGGGAGGGTCAGAGACTGTGAAAAACTTGCCAATGTTTAAAAATCATGAAATACACAATTGTCATGTAAATGTCTATAGAGGAGGAGCACAGCAAAATTCTGGCAGCTTATTAATAAAGGGACGAGCAGGATGGCAAAGAGAGTTCAATGAAGAACATTTTTTTAAAAATCACACAGACCTACACGTGGAGAAAGAAAGGAGAGATTCCGTAGAACAGTAATGGAGATTTCTGGAATATTCATAAAGTTGTTGAATTAAATATGAAATGGCTGATGTTCCAGGGGTGACAGAATCACGGAGTTGGAGGTGCCTTCTCTATGGGAAAGAGATCATTTCCGTTGCTTCTAGACAAAAAGAGTCTGCAACTTATGTTCTGCACCACGAGCAGCTGTCTCTACAGAGTGTGGGCCTGATCAACAGGAGAGAAGAAGTCAAGCAAAGTGACATTCCCCTGGAGGGTCAGGTCTTGTGCGGGCTCCTTGGAGGTGGCTGGAACCTGACTTTGAAGGACGCGGGTCATCCATGTGCCTTACCTCCAGGTGCTGGGCCATCTCGATTCTCAGGCTGTTGCAAGAGCAGAAACCTTCCCAAGCCGCAGCACGACAGGAAGGCACCGGTCACCAGTGGCCCTGTGAATGTCACAATGGGGACACCTCCAGGCCCACAGAGTCGAGTGGGCACCTTCTTCTTCCGTTTCTCCTGAGCTCCGACTCCTGGTGGGGAGGCAGAAGATGTGGGGGTGAGAGGAGACCCCAAAAGGAGTGTCTACCAAGTCTGGACTCACCAGCTCTCTCAGAGTCGGGGTCTTTAAGGAAGGACCAAAAAGAACAAGGAAATTATTCAGAGTCTTTATGGTGGAGCTGCGTCTCTGTCAAGGGTTGGGTTCCCAAATTAGGATATTAGGCAACACTGTATAAGGTCGGTACTGCTGCCCAGGGACCGCTCAGCGCCTGCCTAGCACCGGCTGGACCTGGGTTCCACCCAGGGACTGCAAAACAATAAACAATAAAAATTTTAAAAAATTGGAAAAACGTGGGGAAAGTGCTGTGTTGGAGGCCACAGTACCATTTTGCAATAGTCACTCTGCGCTTTGACACTGAACAGATTTCTTTGATTGAGAACCACCTGGCTAATGTTAACCAGCCCCCCCAACACACACACACACAGACACAGACACACACACACACAGAGACACACACACAGACACACACAACACACAGACACACACACACAGAGACACACACAACACACACACAGAGACACACACACAGACACACACACACAGACACACACAACACACAGACACACACACAGACACACACACAGACACACAGACACACACACACAGACACACACAACACACAGACACACACACACACAGACACACACGGACACACACAACACAGACACACACACAGACACAGACACACACACAGACACACACACAGACACACACACACAGGCACACACAGAGACACACAACACACAGACACACACACACACGAAGACACACACAGGCACACACACACACACACACAGACACACACACAGACACACACACAGGCACACACAGAGACACACAACACACAGACACACACACACGAAGACACACACACAGACACACAGACACACACACACACACACACAGACACACAACACACAGACACACACACAGACACACACACACAGACACAGACACACACACAGACACACACACACAGACACACACACACACACAGAGACACACAACACACAGACACACACACACGAAGACACACACAGACACACACACAGACACACACACAGACACACACACAGGCACACACAGAGACACACAACACAGACACACACACAGACACACACACAGACACACACACAGACACACACACAGGCACACACAGAGACACACAACACACAGACACACACACACGAAGACACACACACACAGACACACACACAGACACACACACAGACACACACAGAGACACACAACACACAGACACACACACACACGAAGACACACACACACACGAAGACACACACACACAGACACACACACAGGGACTGAACTTCAAGGCCTGGAGCCCCGCTCAGCGGGCGGTTGGGCCCAACACCCGCTCTATGTAAACCGCTGCTTCTGGGTCTGAGTCCTTTCAGGCCCAGCGCGGGTGCAGGTGACTGTATTAGTGACTCTGAGGTTTTTCTATTCTTTCTCCCCAAATCGAGGTAAACGTGCAGATCCTCGGTGCCTGGCCCTGGACTCCGCGTGTGCTGGCCCCGGCCCAGCCTGGGGCGCATGCGCCGTGTTCCCACCAGGCCGGCCAGGGGCAGGGGGCCGCTGCAGCCCGGGGCTCCGCTCGCTGGCCCCGCTCCTGGGCTAAGGGAAGGGCGTCGCCCGGGTGTCAGCTTCCTGCAGGCGGCGCCCACCTGCCCTCACTGCTGGGCCCTTGCATCCACGGGTGTGTCCAGGGTCCCTCGGTGGCCGGTGGGTCCGACGAATAGAGCCAAGAACCTTCCGGCACAGCTCCACTGCCCGCCCACCCTGGGGACAGAGGCGCTGGGCAACTGCTTCAGCACCTTGAAGGGGCGGAGAGCTCCCGCCCTCCACCTCTGCTGTCCCCTCCAGGACCCCTCGCCAGCGCCCCTCCCCCAGACCCCTGGGCCCCTCCCTCCCTGCCCGCCGCCCTCAGGTGGAGGTGGTCTCCGCCTCGTGTGCTGGGTCGTCGCCTCCTGGGCCCCTGCAGCCTGTCCCTTCTTCCCCGCCCCGTGAAGTCCGGGCTTTGTTGGCACGTGGGGGCTCGGGATGGGGAGGGGCTGTCCCCACTGCCACTTGTCTCCCGCCTACACTCTCTGCCTCCCTGGGCAGCGCAGAGGGCATCTTGGGGTGGTGTCTGTGGAACACCAAGGGCCCTGTAAGCCGCCACCCATCCGCTGTGGAGAGGAGGCAGCCCGGGTCCAGGTCCAGCACCTGCGGCCCTCCTGCTGGGCTGCCTCCTCCTCTGGGGCTGGTCTCCCCTATGAACCCGGGTCAGCGGTCCACCTCGGCCAGCAGGTGCTGTGACCATGGCTTGTCGCAGCACCCGCCAGGCAAGTAGCAAGATGGCCCTCAGAGAGCCAGTCTAGGGCGACCTGTGGATAAGTTTGGGAAAGAAGATGCAAAAAGAAAGCAAAACAAGACAAAAGCAATTTCCTCCTGGAGGTGAAGAAAAGCAGGAAGAGGCAAAGCCCTCTACCCCCTCCTCTTGGCCCAGCTGAGGGCTCCCAGGAGGGAGCCGTTGGGGCCAGGTGAGCAGCTGGGAGACGCCCACCACATGAGGATGGAGCTGGAAGCTGGTGCAGGCAGGTGAGATGTAAAGGATTAAGAGATCAGGGGAGTTTGGAGAACAAACAGCCGGCGGGGAGGATTTCCTGAGCCAGCTGGGCTCCGGCCTGAGGGACTCACACAGGCATCCTGAGGCTGGGATAAGGCCGGCTCTTCCGGAGCTCACCTGGGCACAAGGGTTCCAGTAGAGTGGCCTGGGGACTCCACATGGGAGGCAACCCCCTCGTCTGCCCATCAAGCCCTGGCATGTGCCACTGCGTTTCTTTCAGTGGGTGATCAGCGCCCACTCTAGAGAGTTCTGAACCTGCATCAAGTGTGCATC